CGATTACTCCGGACTCGACCAGCTGTTGCGCACCATTCTGGGTGGGTCTCCCAACGAAGGCTGCTGCGTACACAATGTTTCGAATTTGAGACCTTGTTTAAGCTGGAATAAGCCGTTTGCTACTTGATCCAACCCTTTGTTGGTATTTGAAAGTCACATGAATTTTGTTTAAAGAGAATTAAATTTTTTTTAATTTGAATTAATAGATTATTATTTTTTATTTTAATTGCATAATAAGAGGTAATTATTTTTTATTTCTTATCCCATCCCACCTGCATATTATGCTACTCGAATTCAGGACTTTTTACTTTCAAAAAAAAGAAATGATTACTGAATTATTTAAATTATTGGTAATTAACAGATTATTAATAGAGTATAAATATTATGAATAATAATAAATTAAATTAAAATTTAAAACTAATGACTATACATGAAGTAAGTTATTTAAAATATTAAAAAATAAATTATATATTATTTAATAATTAATTTTTTTTAATTTTTTAATACTCATAATATTATATATATTGATTAATTTAAAAATATGATATAAATCATATTATTAATTTAAAATTTTTGTTCTTCCTCTTATTACTCAAGTATCATAAGCATACCGCCTAATAGCGATTAAAACAATAAAGAATGGGAATACAATTCAAAAAAAAAAAAATTTTAAGAACACTCGTAATTATATGAAAGTAGAAGTCATAGCCTTAAACTTATAAAATCTCAACCTCTGTTATGTGTTTGTTTTGAAGTTTCATAAATAGTTATTAGTTGTTGATTATAATAAAATGGTTTAAATATTTTTAATTTTAAATAATAATAATAATAATTATTATTATTATTATTTTTGAACAGATTTTACAATGGGCTGGGTTCGAACCCCAGCCCTGGGAGAGGAGAAATGCACCATGGATAGCTATTGTCACTTGGTCCGAAGGGCTCGATGCAAATAATAATTATTATTTAATCGTCAAACATTAATAATTAATTATCAATTACTATATATTTAAATAGGTAATCCATACACTTCCTAAATCTTTTATCAGTTAACTTAAAAAGACCTCCCTTTTTATGCGAACATCGTAATTTATTCCATTAGCTCTAAATGACCAAGAAAGATGACACTC